GGTACCCTAAGGGTGCAAAGGGTGCAAAGGGTTTAGGGTTTAGGGTCTAGGGTTTAGGGTTGAGGGTCCAAAGGGTTAGGGTGTAGGGTTTAGGGTTTTAGGGTTTGGGGTTTAGGGATCAGGCATTTAGGTTTCGGATAGTAGTTATGTAGGTTACTATTTGGGAGAGTATATGATTATTAGGTACTTGGACCCTTAGGGGTATGACAAGAATCACTTCAAGATTTCATTCGTCAAATCAAGACGTCAACCGCGCATGCAATGATGCCAGGTGTAGCACCGAACGCCGCATGAAAGTCGAAGTCCTACGTGTAGCCCCACACCCCACACCAACCTTGCAGGTTGACATAAGAGCCCGCACTTCAGAGCCTTCTTGACGGGTTTAGGGTCTAGGGTTTAGGTTAGGGTTTAGGGTTTAGGGTTGAGGATCAGGCTCGAATCTGTGGACCCTTCCTAGCTGAGGACCGCAGAAACGGACTGGGACCCTGCATTCAATACATACTTAAAGGTTCATGGGACTTAGTAACTAGGGTTATAAATAAGGTAACTATACTTATAGCTACTTATAACCCCCAATTAAGGTACTTATAACTGTACTTATTAAGTCCCATGAACCTCCAAGTACAGAAGAACGAGAACCCTCGAAACACAAAGCCCTAAGAACTTGCTGCTATCCCTAAACCCCAAACCCTAAACCCTGAACCCTAAACCCTAAACCCTTTTTGAGCACGGGTTTGGATTGCATGCCGGCAAGATGCTCGAGGGCAGGGACTAAACCCTAAACCCCAAAACCCTAAACCCCAAACCCTAAACCCCAAAACTCCCTCAGTTACTGATTGCCGGTTCCGCGGCACCCCACCTGGATGCCAGAGCAGCGGAAGTCTTCGGCGGGAATCAACCGGAGGAGCTGATCCTGAACTCTACCCCCTTTGGTTTAGGGTTTAGGGTTTAGGGTTTAGGGTTTAGGGTTTAGGGGTTTAAGGTTTAGGGTTTAGGGTTTAGGGTTGTTGCCAGGACAACCCAAGCAGATGGTCCCTAATAGAGGGAATTTGGGGTATACTAGCGGGTAGTTGGGGGTTCTAGGCCCCTAAACCCTAAACCCGAAGCCAGTGAAACTAGGTGCCCACTTCTTGATACCCTAAACCCTAAACCCTAAACCCTCAACCCCGAACCCTAACCCCTAAACCCTAAACCCCAAACCCTAAACCCTAAGCCGAGCCGTCCTTTACGACAAAACCCATCCCAGGGTCCGAAACCGAAATCCCGCGCCCTAAACATTTAGGGTTTCGAGGCTTAGGGTTTAGGGTT